AGAAGAAAGAGAGAGAGACAAGAAGATAGAGAGATAGAAAGAGAGAAGAGGAAGGGACCGGGGGCTTAGCCCCCGGTCCGAGGTAGAGAGAGAGAAGGAGAGAAAGGGAGAAGAAGAAAGAGAGAAGAGGAAGGGACGGGGACTTAGCCCTCGGTCCGAGGTCGAGAGAGAGAGGAGAGAGAGAGAGAAGAGAGAAGAGGGACAGACCGAGAGCTTAGCCCCCAGTCCGAGCCTGAGAGAGAGAGAGAGAGATGAGGGAAGGACTGGGGGCTAAGCCCGCGGTCTGAGGCCGAGAGAGAGAGAGAGAGGGAGAGGAGAGAGAAAGAGAGAGAAATAGAGAGAAGAGGGAGGAGACCGAAGGCTTAGCCCCCTGATTCGAAGCTGAGAGAGAGAGAGGGAGAGAGAGTGAGAGGAAGAAAGAGAGAAAGAGAGGGAGCACCTGGTCCGAGGGGTGAGAGAGGAATCGAGGGGAGAGAGAAATAAAAAGGGGGAGAGAAGAGGGGGATAGGATAGAGAAAAGGAGAGAGAGAAGAGAGAAAGAGAGGGATCAAGGGCTTAGTCCCCCGATACGAGGGGGTGAAGAAAGAGAGAAACCGCGGGGAGAGAAAGAGAAAAGAAGGGGGAAGAGAGAGAAAGAGAGAGGAGAGGGAAAAGAGAAAGAGACAGGGGAAGGAGAAAGAAGAGAAAGAAAATGAGAGAATAGAGAGAAAGGGGTAAGGTTAGTTATCTAGTATGAACCGTGGTTTCAGACCTGGGGCTAGGTTGATCTTACCCTTCTTGAGCTCCTTAAGATGGGTTGGGTCCTTGGTATAGAAAGCTAGGGTGTAGGATTAGAGCTTATGGATTAGGGGGAATATGTTGGGATGTATGGAAGTAGAGACTATGGAAGATGTGTCTAGGGAATATGGAAGTGAGGACTATGGAAGATGGGTCTAGGTTTAATGGAAATGAGGACTATGGAAGATGAGTCTAGGGTGTATGGCAATGAGGATTATGGAAGATGGGAATGAAGGGTTCTAGGTTGGAAGTGAGGGGTTATAGGGGTAATCCTTAATGGGTGAAAGTTTTCTCTCTCCTCTCCTTGGGGTAGGTAAGATAGAATAAAAAATTACAACCAAAGAGGGCAAGCTCAATGATTCATTAATTCTCTTCCAACCTTTCCAACATTCAAAACTTAGGGTTACAAATCATTTGAATCCAATAGAAGCAGTCTGGTATTCATCTGATACCCCGATAATAGAGTTGTAGTTATGAGGCATTTTTTTCGCATGTTAGAATTGAAATTGAGAATTAAGTTTTCGTCTAATCTGCTTTAACTTTGTCAAATCGCGACGAAACTTGGCGGGCGTCCTTAGGGCGTCAAATGTCACCCTCACATGCTTTTTGGGGCCAATCTGACACTTTTTAAAATTTACTAAAAAATCAAGGTTTATTCGATCAGTGCTTTCGTAGGCCACATGCGTTTTGGTAACTGTAGGCCTAAGTGGCGATTGGATTCTTCTTTATTCGCACCGAGGATGAAAGTGTCAAAAATTACTCTACAATAGTAACCAATCCTACCACAATGATCACAGTTGAACTTACTTTTATCCCCTTGATTGGGATCCCCTTTTTCCAAATTTTTGTGATCCGCTCCATTTATTCTTTTTATGAGGCCATGAAGCAGAGCCAAGAGTAGAACGATCTAGAGGTTGTGTAGGCAACATGATACTTTATCTAATTTCTTCACTATGGATAAAGGAGTATACTTCATTGAGAGATGGAAGAGTATCCCGACTAAGAATTTGAACCCTAGGTAAGTCAAACTATGGGTTCAATCCAATCAAAAGCTAAAAAACACGATTTTGTTCCACAAACTCTTTGTATTCATTCCCTTCTTGCTTGCAGGCTGGTTTAAACATCCGTGTTTTAATTCCTACCATAGATTACAAAGTACTGCAAAATATGCAGTTAGAGACCGCTTCCCCTGTTGATGATGGGATATCTCATGTCTCAATTGGTATACTAGAGACACATTCTTGCTTTGGGAGTATGTTTTGTGTACCGAGTCCTAGATTTCTTTCACAGTCCGAAGAAAAAGAAAACCCCTACTAATTGAGGTTGCAATGAGTGCAATAACCAAGACATTACAAATAATTTTTCAGTCTTTAACTTTTCATATGAAGGACTTGTTTCTTCAGGTTCAACAATTTTACCTATTACGTATCTCAACTTCCCTCTACCACTAATAATCATTTTAGCAAACTTTGACCATTCTAAATAATTGGTTCGATCAGGTATAACAGTAGTAATCTGCAGTCCAAGGTTTTCTCCATGGATACCCATTTGAGAGTTTACACCTTAAGTGTTGATAGTGGTAGAAGAGTACTCCAAATCACTCATATTTGAGATACCAGCCACTAAACAGCAAAAAAAACACCCAAAAACACTCGCTGATTACCACAAACAACAACAAAGAACTATTGATTATCACAAATAGCTACATGATTGCACTCCACCTGAAGATTTGAGACCATCCATACAAGAGATCTCAATAAAATTATGACTCAGAATAGAGTTGCAATGTATTAAAAAGGTCCAACAACCACTTTTGACGCATCAAAAAGCCTAATCATTTGTAGAGTTTTTTGTTTGACATCACCAACTCGATCCACATAAGAAATATCCATAAATTAGTGTTTGACACAGCTCACTAATTTTCAGATATGCTGTCCATGAAAATTAGGATTTGACTTCCCATCTCAAATGTTCAGATCTGTGTTTTTGTTGATCCACACAATCCAAAGGAAATTCATAGGAAAAAATAACCTGTAGTAGTTAGGGTTTTTTGTCCATGCCTGATTTTTACAATTTTAGGGTCTCAAAAGCATCTCACACATCCCCCTGCTCTGATACCATGTCAAATACAGCACTCTAGTTGGTTGAGAATCAAGAAAGTGTAAGGGAGATCAATAATTAGGAAGAAGAAGGTTGGGGGAAGAGAGAGAAAGATGAGACAGATCATGTGATGAAAAGGGGAACAAAAGAGAGAGTTACATGATGTTCTCGTAACACACCCCTCTTATGTATTCTTATTAATACTAAAAAGTGCAATTACAAAAATACCCCATAAGTAAGGGAAACAAAACAGTCCACAAGACCTTAAAACAATGAGTAGTCCGGTTCTAATAGTTCCAACTGCTTTGATTCCTTACAATGAGTGTTCTATAACTATTAGTTCCGAAACGGATTTGCTTTAGAAAAATTTAAAAAATATGAAAAGGGCGACACAAGCATAAAGTATGACACCAGTGACATGTTTTCATTGCCTCACAAATTAGGAGATATTAGTGTAAATTTTCCTTTTTTTTTTACTAGTCATTGAGGGTATGTTTCGAAAAGAGCATGGACACGTGTTGACATGTGTTACTGTGTTGACACGTGAAATGCTACCCAAATGAAGGTGTCTGTGTAACATAGGTTTTAGAGAGATTTTGTATGAGTTAATGGTTGTTGGTCCATGAGAGGCTGTAGAGGATGGGTGCTGGTCTTGGGGGGGGGGCTTATTGTGGGTTCTTATTTGTGCTGCTTTTAAAAATCAGCATGGTGGTTCTAGTGCGTGCTAGTTTCTCTTTTTGAAACTAGCTAGTTTGTGTAAAGGGAAAAGTTTATATAAGGTTGCAACCTTAAAAAACCTCAAAAATCCATCAGCAAATGTTGTTTTAATGTTGAAAAACCTTCTAATTGATCATCTCGACATCGAGATGTATGAATATGAAAAAACAAAAAGATTTCGAGTCCCAGAAATAATGCATCTTGCAACATATTATTTAGACCGTCCATTTTCAAGATTTTCATATGTTTATAGATATACTTGATTTTAGCCGTTTTTGGAGTTCAAAATTGTATAACTAGATATGAAAATAGATTTTCAGATAATCCTAAGAATTTTTTAACCAAAGTTACATGTTATGGTAAAATTTGGAGGTGTGCCTTAATTAGATCGTTTAACGTTGCAACCTTATAGAAACCACACCCTTGTGTAAATTATCTTATATACTCTTTTCTTTTTTCAAAACAAAATTTAGTTTGAGTATGAACCATGGGGAAGTGAAATCATTCTGTAGTGAGGTTTGTCTATGGGTCTGCAAGTTGAAGGTAAATATGGTGTTTACCATTTTGATTGTATCTTGGAGGTGGATTCACTAATCCCTTCTCATTCGAAAGATATCTGAGTGGGCGCAATGACTATATTAAAGAAAACAATCTGTACTATGCCTTTAGGATTGATTGAACAAGATTGATTGAACACCTATCCTAGAGTAAGTTTTATAGTTTTAATTTTTATCATTAACATTCATTTTGGCCAAAACATTTCCCATATGATAAATGCCAAATATCCAATTAGACCAACATGCTGGTTTATAACTTTGTTGATAAAGGTGGTGCTAATATTGTATATAACCATTTTTTCTTCATTTTCAAAAAAAAAAAAAGGAGCTGGACTCGGGCGAGTTACTCGGACTTGCCCGAGTAACTCGCTTTGGCCAGGTCTCGAGTACCTTGGCCAAGTCAATTTTCTGAACACTGATATGACCTTGTGCATCCTGAGGAATTATATAGACAGCTTATGTGCATCTCCATTGACATTCTCAAAATGGTAAATCGGCACTAGGGATTACATGCAAACATGCTGAAATAAGTAGAGGTAAGAGAGCTTAGCAATTTCTTCCGGATTTTATTTGGCATGGCAGCTTAATTATGGTTTAATTTATTGATAAAATTGGCCTTAACATGCATGAGTGCTATACTTCTTTGCAATGTAACGTTCTTCTAAGTGCCTGAAGGTGAACTGAGCAATTTCAGCTCCTCTTTACTGATAAATCATGTCATTCTTGTTATTATGCTGTTGAGCCATAACATCGTAAGTGATATGCTTCTATATGATCTTACAATATTAGAAGTGCCTGAAGATGCAAATACAATAAACCTTAATGATTTATGTAACAATAAACAAACAGGCTGGCAGATCCTTCTGATAACTTGCAGAAATCATATGAACAATTCCTTCAACGGATGGAGAAACGAAAAGTGAGAAAAGCCAGAGTACGTGTTCTGTTGTGTTTCAAAAATCTTTTAGTATTTGTTATAAATGCTTGAGTACTTCAGTGATTTTTGACTTTGTTGCATTTAGCTGCGAGGATCAAGAGTAGCATCATCTGCTATGAAACATCTGTCCAGTTCTAGGGGGATGAGCCTTGTTGAAAATGATACACAGCAACCTATTGAAGGTGAAATGATACACAACAACCTCACACTCCAATAGACTATGGAAAATCCATAGTCCATTGGGTCATCTTGAAAGGGTCTATGGTAATGAAGAGTGGAGTCACCACTATGGATGTCGTCTTAGCCTAGTGGGTCCCACACTTTTCATCACTATCGATCACATCAACTTGTGATGTTGACGCCATGGACAGGGTTTACATGGTGTTTCCATTGTAGTACTTGTACATTATTATGGTATACTTATCCCTGGAAGTTTATTGAATTGTAAATGAGTAATCTTATTTTAGAAGTCTGCATTTCATTGTTTGATAAAAACCAGAAATGGGTTGGCATTTGCAGTCACATGCAGAACATCTGGAAATGAGGAAGCTGTGAACTCATATATATGCAGCGATACAACAATTATAGTGTCTAAGTTTGTGGATTCTGCCATTGTTGGCAAATCTGAGGAGGTAGAAGATGCTTGCCACCATGGCTTAGTAGACCCTACAATCAACCTTAAGGAAGCGATGGATGACATAAACAGCATGTTCCAAAAGCCTTTGGACATACAAATCAAGAACAGGAAGAGAACACATCATACTCCATCCAAGTCTAGGAACAAAGTAACTACTGGATTTGAGGTTTTTGTTGATGATGGCTTTCAGAGAGATTGCCCTATAGAGAATGAGAGAAAGGAGTGCTCCAATATTGGGTCATTGGCTTCTCAATGCAGTGATGTGACAGTGGTGGTTCGAAAATTTGCGGACTCAGTAATTGTTGATGAATCTAATGATGCAGAGGGAGCTCGCCATCATGGATTAGTTGAGCCTACAATTTGCACCAAAGAAGCCCTGTCTGAGATTAACCAAATGTTTGGCGAGCCTCTTGATTTTGAGAACCCCAAATCGAAGAAAGAACGCACCAGAACTGAAGCAGGCAAACCTTCAGTTGGAAGCTTGACGATTTTTGTCGATAATTGTGATGTTGGTCACAAACCTATTGGCAAATTCAATGCTCAGGAATTTCTCAGGGAGGTAATTCCTTTATTTATTTTTTAATTTTTTGTTTTCTTCAAAAAAAATCTCAGTAAAAGGGGGATTTATAAAAGAAAAAGTTTATATAAGGGTGATGCCCTAACCAGTCAAATTAAGGCGCACCTCAAAAATTCATTAGAAGAGGTTATTTCAATGCCCAAAAATCCTCAAATTGTTGATCTTGATCTCAAGATGTATGACATGAGAAAAAATGGATCTCAAGTATTGGAAATGGTGCATCTTGTAATGCATTTTGTAGACTATCAATTTTCAAGATTATCAAATGTTTATAGATCTGTTAGATCTACACTATTTTTGAAGATTATCAAATGTTTAGGGCCTCAGCCTTATACAAAGCACACCCATTTATAAAAGAAGAAAAATAAATAGATAAAGAAAGGGAAAAAGTTTCTCTAAACCTTTCTGTTTTAAGTTCTCTAATGGATGGAGTTTTATTTTCTGTTTAATTTTACTAGTAGTTTTGAAATAACTTCAGGCAAAATGAAGGGGGAAATTTCTGGCCAAAAAAAAAACTGCTCTTTTTTTCTTGATCGAATTTATTTAATTGACAGGAGGGTCCTGTTGGCAAAGTTCCATCAGTTCATCCGACAAAGGACTCTAAAATTCCTATACCACTGGCCATATATAACGAAAGGGAAAACTCACCACCTCCCGAGTATGGTGAGAACACAGTGGTCTGCAAATATATAGGTTCAACAATACTTGGGGATTCTGAAATCGAGAATGTTTGCCACCATGGATTGGTGGACCCAACAGTTAACCTCAAGGAAGCCATTAAAGACATAAACAGCATGTTTGGTAGGCCTATAGACTTTACCAAAAGCAAAAAGAATCACCGGCCAAGCAGATCAGTCCCAAAAGAGCAACCAAATTGTGAGTTTTCTATTTTGGCCGATGAGGATTTGGAACCTCAAAATGCAAGTTCGAGTGAGAGGTCTGGTGCTCAATGTGACCTGTTTGAGCCAACTGTTTTCACTAAAGAAGCCCTGGCTGAGATAAACAACATGTTTGTTAAGCCGATGGATTTTTAATGACTTAGCTGCAGTTTATGCTCTTTCTTGGAGCTCTAGCAGACCTTAATCAACCCAAGCTGTGTGCTGCATTATTTTGTAACATCAAATGTACGGATTTCTTGTGCTATAAACTACATGGTGTTAAATAATACCAATTTTGTGAAAAATCATGAAAGATTTTTGAAGTCATACTTCTTGTAATACCATGTTACTCTTAGTATACTTGGTTGATTCCTGCTAGTTTTATTTAATAGAAACTATTTTTTGTATAATTCAAGATACATTTTTCTCTCATAGAATTTAAGATAATTAATGATCCTTTTTTTCCGTCCTATTTAAATTTTATTTAATTTTTAAATTTTATTTGTTAATTTCCATGTTTCTTCTCATTTCTTACAAGACTTCTGCAAAAACCAAAAGTTTTTCCAATAGGCCACTTTGACAAGAATTTCCTGAGAATTAGACTTTTTTCATGTTGTGACCTGATCAGATTTCTTGCTGTATTGGTTCTGGTTAGGACTAGAGCTTGGTATAATGTAAAGCTTGATCATTTAGAAAATGCTTGAAATAGAATTAACATTGGAAAATTCATACAAAATAGTTACCATGTATATAGAGCGCTCTCTCTTTCTCTCTCTCTCTCTCTCTCACACACACACACTCAAACCCCCCTGCATGTTTTGGCCCCATAAATTTATTCCACCCAACTGAACATGTCTGAACTCTCAGTGGATGTGATAAAAATTGATCCATTTATTAAAGCAGCAAATCAAAACCAGATACATTGATGAGGTGGTTTAGTGGTCTGGCCACTAACGTTGAAGGCTTTGCTTCTCTCAAATTTTTTATTGAGTTTAAAAAAAATCAGTTCTTCCAACTTTAGTTTTCAAATACATGGCTCAATCCCAAACGTACCGAACACAGAAAATAATAACACACAAACACAAAAACAAGTTCATGCCAAACTCAGTAGTGGGTTAATGGGTGGCAACGGGCCGGGCGAAAGGCCAGTGGTCCAGTTGCGTAAAGAAGCACCTTCCCTGCCTTCAGGTTACCTTTGTAACGAAGTGGAGATCCTTCAAAACCGCCATTGATGTTAGTGAGAAGGTTGCATTCGGGGTCAGGGGAAGAGAGAAGGTAGGCAGTGCACGAGCTCAACGCATCCATTGATGGAGCAAAACCAATCACAGACGCATAGAAGTAACCATAAGAGTCGGTTTTGTGGGCCTGGTACCACTTCACTCTTCCCTTCTCGTCCTTGCACGCCACTCCTACCTTTGCTCCGGCAATTGGCTTGGCTTCAGAAAGAGAATGGGTTCCCTTAAGCTCGCAGCTTTGACAGTAGACCATGCCCTCAACCACCACCACCGGTTCCTCAGCCTTTACCTTCTCGGTGGTTAAGAGAGGGCTAGATACTGAAAGCCCACATAGTGTGGAAACGATGAGGCAAAGGGTGAGTGCTATGTAAGACGGCCTCATCGCAAAACTCGCCATGCTTGAAGATCAGGAGGTTGTTTGGTCTCTCTATGTCTCCCCCTCTTGAACACCTCCTCTCTCTCTCTCTGACACACCCTCTGTCTCTCACACCTCTCTCTATGAACCAATGGGATGCTAATTGTTGCCTGGAGGAAGGGCATTCTGTTGCATGGGATATATAGTGGAGAAGGTGGGCATAGGGTGCCTGAAGATTGAAAAAAATTAAATGCATTGGGAGATCATGACACCCACTCTATTGTTGGTTGAAATTCTGAATGCCTTTCTTTTTTTTGGAAGTTGACCCTTTGGCTCTTAAACCACAGTAGAGGTAAATTTTGAATGAACATGCATGTGTAGGGCTTTTATGCATACTTCACCATAATGGTTGGGCAACTCACGAAATATGGGGGACGATATAGTCATTCCCACAAAAGATAGGTGAGTTGTATGTTTTCAATGGCTAGCTCAAAACGTGTAAGGAAGTAAGGTTTGTGCAATTCCATCTTTAAAAATTAAATAAAAGAGTCATAGGGGATCAGATTAGAATAAGTAAACGTGGCATACACTTCCCTCTGTTCGCTGGTCAGAAGACCTCTTCTTTTTAAATTTTTTGGAAAAATTACAAAAATACTCGAGACTACACTTTTTAAATGCAACTTACCTCCAATTTAACGTTTTCCTTCATTTTTTTTCTCAAAAATATATTTTCTATGCAAATACCCTCCAACCAAATAAAAACAATGACTAAACTACCCTCCCTTACATTTACCTTACCCACGCCTCTCTCTCCTCTGTATAAGTGCGCTCCGACACTATGTAAGTGCACTCCTGCAATTCAACACTCTAGAGTCACAGTGCTTCGACACTGTCTATGTGCGCTCCGGCAGTGGATCATGCGCTCCGACATTGTGTAAGTGCGCTCAACAGTGGAATCTGGAGTCACAACGTTCCGGCACTGTATATGTGCGCTTCGGCACTGTGTAAGTGCACTCCGACAGTGCAACACTCTGGAGTCACAGTGCTCCGACAGTGCAACACTATGGAGTCACAGTGCTCCGACACTGTCTATGTGCACTTCGGTAGTGGATCGTGCGCTCCGACACTATGTAAGTGTGCTCCGACAGTGGAATATGGAGTCATAGCGCCTAGGCCCTGTGTATGTGTGTTCCGGCAGTAGATGATGCGCTCCGGTACTATGTAAGTGCGCTCCGACAGTGCAACACTCCAGAGTCACAGCACTCCGGCACTGTCTATGTGCACTCCGGCAGTGGATCATGCGCTCTAGCACTGTGTAAGTGCACTTCGACAATGAAATCTGGATTCACAGCGCTCAGGCACTTTGTATGTGCGCTCTAGCAGTAGATGATGCGCTTCGGCTCTGTGTAAGTGCGCTCTAGCAGTGCAACACTCTAGAGTAACAATACTTTGGCACTGTCTATGTGTGCTCCGGCAGTGGATCATGCGCTCCGGTACTATGTAAGTGCGCTCCGACAATGTAATCTGGCGTCACAGCTCTCTGGCACTATGTATATGCACTCCGGCAGTGTATCATGTGCTTTGGCACTATGATGATTCGCTCAGGCAATGAGCTCTGAAAGTTAACGTCAAATTTGACCAAATTGATTTTTGTATACGAAAAAAACATTTCCGTTTAAAAAAACGAACTTTTTCCCTTGGGGGTATTAACTAACCCCGAGCTTTAGTACACGCCGCTCTCCACTTTACCTTTTTTTTTATCTTACTTTACCCTCGCCTCTCTCCTCCCTTCTGCTCTACGACCCGAGCTCCCTCCCTCTCTGTCGCTCTCTCTCCGGCCCGAGCTCCCTCCTCCTCCCACGCTCTGTCTTCGGCCCAAAAACTTTTTTGTCTCTATGAAGGCCCTAGGTCTCTCCCTCTCTCTCTCTCTAACAAAAAATAGCGCGGCCCGAGCCCAAACCCAGGAAGCCCGAGCTCGATTTTTAGCTTATCTTTCGGCCCCAAATCATCCCCATCAAAGGTATGAAAGATTTTTTATTTATTTTCATAAAAAAATATAGCACATTTATTTTAGAAAATTGCTCAAATCTGTTGTTGGGTCATTGTTCGTCGATTTTTGGTATATTTGATCTGTTATTGACAATGAAGGGATGGATTGCTCATGGATTAAGATTTATTGAAGTTTTTCTTATTAAATTTTTATGGAGTTTGTCATTTTTTATCTATTGTCATTTTAGGGTTTAAATGTACTTGGTGGTAGTAAATTTGTTAAAATTTAGTTATTAAGAAAAATATGCCTAGCTATTGTTAATTTTTTTTTAATAGTAGTTACGATAGCTTCAATTTCTCAATTTGTCTTCTTGCTATGATAGCTTTGATGCAATAATAGTTTTTGTCAATATTGTGTCACTACTCACTGAATACAAGCAACAAATGCAAGCACTAGACAAAGTGCATATGCTCGACAAGACTCTCAAAATCTCAAACTAATCTTAGCAATAGTTTGGAAAGAATATAATTTCATCCTTAAAAACATTCTTTGTAGGGTTAATTTTTGGGAGGATTTATATAGTTTGGGTTTTTTCAAATTTAAAAAGCATTTCTTAAAATTTTAGGTGAAAAAAGGAATAAATTCAAAAGGTTCATAATAATTAAAATAAGAATGACATAAAAGGAAAATTGTTATTTTATTCGCCTTTTCAATATTTAAGTGTGTGTCTAGGATTATCTTGTGTTACTTGTGAAATTCTAACTACATGTTTCCTATGAATAAATCTTTTATTTAAACATATGCATAGAAGATTTTTGCAAGGAGTATAAAAAGAAATTGGTGGTGGTGCAATTGGACACTTGATAACTATGGGTAATTGAGACTTTTGTCTTGAACTATAATTTTGTGGTTTAGGCCTAATTGATTTACGTTAGTGCTATATAAAATCGTCACTAAGAACTATACAAAATAAGAAATTGGCTAAAATCGTTAAGATTGCATTATTCAAATAATCATTGGGTTTGTTTATCTGTGGAGTGTAAATTATTACAAATCTTGTGTAGGAGAAAAGAAAATGAGTGATAGCAGATTGATTTATTGTATTTTTTGTGGAGAACTCCAATCAAATGTCTATGGGACTTTGGATTATATTGGTGGGGATACAGTTACATTTATTAATGAAATTAGAACTAGGTTAGATGACCTGCGAAAATATGTAGCAGAGCGTTTCTCGCTAGACAGACACTTGATATCATTGAGGTATTTTGTCCTGAGAAATAGAAGATTTATTGTGAATCTATTCATTGATGATGATATTGAGAAGATGTTGAATGCACATGAAGGCGAGAATAATCTCTTCGTTTATATATTTGATGGGAGTGAACAAAGGGGTGGAAGTACTTCACGTAATACTAGGGCAATCGAAGAGGTCAAATCCCCCCAATCCTCTTATGTTTTGGCCTCTGGTTCCGAACAAAGCAATGCACTAAGGTTGCTTAGTTCATGGGAGGATGCACTTACCGGTATAGGGCAACAATTTGAAGCTCTAGATGACTTCCGAGAAGCCCTTAGTAAGTTTGCTATAGCACACCATTTCACATACTGTCTTGTTAAAAATGAGGGGTATCGCATAAGAGCGAAATGCAAGGGTGATGGTGCAAATGGGAGATATATGCTTCGAAGTTTGGCAGAACGAATGTTTTTAGCATCAAAACATGAATAAGAGAACACTCATGTAATATTGGGACATGCAATGATGTACAGAGAAGTGCGTCACAAAAATTTATTGTATTATTAATCAAGGATAAATTAAGTGACACTTCGCATTACAAGGCTAAAGAAATCATGAATTATTTGTCTCAAGATTATGGGTGAGAAATACCCTATTGCAAGGCTTGGCGAGGGAAAGAAACGGCCATCAAAGACATACATGGTTCGCAAGAGGAGACATACAACCAGTTACCCGCATATATAACTGTGTGATGGAGACGAATCCTGATAGTTATGCGATAGGACAAGTATGACAAGATGACAGATTTCGTCGAATGTTCTTAAGCTTTTATGGCTCAATACATGGTTTCAAAAGTAGATGTCATCCACTTCTATTTCTCGATGTGACATCATTGAAGGTACGATACCTCAAAACTTTACCTGCTGCCAACTCATTCGATGGGGAAGAACAAATGTTTCCTGTTGCATTTGCTATTGTGGATGCCAAAAGTACCGAAAACTAGTTATGATTTATAGAATCTCTAAAGATTGCTATTGGGACAAATCTTGAAATCACTTTTTGTCAGATAGATACCCTGACCTAGGTGATACTGTCTGTCAAGTTTTTGAGAATGCCCATCATGCCTTCTGTGAGTGTCATTTAGTGGAGAATTTTAAGAAGGAAATATTAAGAAGGCAGTTGTAAAATATTTTGTCGGAGCATATAGAACGTACAGGATGCAAGAGTATTTTGATAATATGAGTGAAATTAGGTTAATTTTTGAGGACACATTCAAGTTGTTCATGGAAGCATCGCCAGACCATTGGGTCAGATCACTCTTCAGGGGTAAACGATAATCAAGTATCAACCAATGTGATTGAGTCATATAACAAGTGGATTCTAAAAGTACGAGACATGTCAATTCTCCAGTGCGTTGACTTGATTAGAAGACAAATCATTAAACTAATGGCCACCCACAGCTTGGAAGTCAAAACCTAGACTATAACAGTTACCCCACACGAGCAAAATGAACTGAGAAAGACCATAAACCAATCCCTTTTCTGTTACACTGTATCAAGTGAAGTAGTGTTTGAAGCAATGGGTGATCATATGAATTATAAAGTAAATATAATTGCACGAGAATGTGAATATCAGGGGTAGCAAATAAAGGGTTTGCCCTACAAGCATGCTTGTAAAAGCTTTCAATGGATGAATAGGGACCCTGTTGACAATTGTGAAGACTATTTCACGGTTGCAAATTTTCGTGAAACATATTCTGAATCTATCGTATCAGTTGCCTTGAGCGATCTATCTGGGCATAAACGTTGACAACTTCCTTTATATGGAATCAGACTACTTCTACCTCACTCAAGACAATAAACTGGTTAACCTAAAAAAAAGCACATCGAGTCGCAGGAAGTACCAATGCAACCTATTTACTGTAGTAGGTGAAAAGGAACTAGTCACAACAAGGCAATATGTAAAGCACCCACTTGAAGGCCCATATTTGTACTATCTTCTTTATTCTGTCTTTTAAAATTGTAGCACCTACTTGTGAGAAATTTTCTCAATACATATATTAATGGTGTTTGTTATAGTGTTTGTATGACTTTTGTTCATTTCGCGATATTCTTGTATATATATTGGATACGCCACTTTTCTCTCTCTTTTTTTATTGGATATGCTACTTGCGGTTTTTTTTATGCCAAGTATGAAAATAGAATTAGCAATGTAAGACTCGGAACAACTAAGAGGCATAGGGGAGCCATCCACTTCATCAGGTCAAAGGCAAGAGGTACGATGATTTATTTGTTTTAGTTAATGATTTATATTAATTAGGTATTTCTCATGTTATTAACTATTGTCATTTCTTGTTAATTTTCATTTAGGAGAGAAATATACTTCGTATTGATAAATCAACTCAAGCCCTAGCAAAATGAAAGCTCGATCAACGACATGTACCTCTAATTCAAAAGACTGGGTTGAGCCCATTGATGGATGTTAGGGTCTTGCATATCGATTGCAATCTAGTGAGTGCATTTATAGGGAAATGGTACAAGAACACGAATAATGCATTTCTAAGTATCGGTGAAATGACTCCAACCCTATATGATGTGTGATAGATATTAAGGATACCCGTGACGGGTGAACTTGTAATTGGCATTAAGCCTGAAAAGTATGTGCTTTCGTCAAAGAGTATCTGGAAGATTTCCTTAAAGATGTTTCCCCGATGCGTCTCAATCATACATGGTTGAGGAGTAGATTTGGCAAACTACTAAAAAGGCCCACTAAATTACAACTCACGCAACACACACGAGCATATGTCCTTTATTTAGTCGGCCCAACTATATTTGTCGACTCATCTAAAGGATCAACACTTACAATATACCTGCAATTCTTTCGAGATTTTGATGAGGCATGGAACTATGCATGGGGTATTGCGGTGCTTGCTTTCTTGTATCATTCCTTGTTTAAGGTCGCGAGTGGGAAAAATAATCATTTTAGTGGGTCAGCGACTTTACTACAAGTATTTTTCACTATCTTTATTATTTATATTTACAATATTGTAATTTCTTTGGCTTCTTACTTTTTGCTTTTCCTACAGTGTTGGATCTATGAGCTTTTTTAGCTCTAGCCACTAAGCCTACATTGGTCATCAACCCAAGAATGCCTAAGGCTTGCATGTGGAAGAAACAAGTATGTCACAAAAACATCTCATTTGATATGGTTAGTGTTTGGCTTGTGTGCTTATAATCTAGTAGATAATCAACCTAGGAATGCCTTGGCTTGTTGTTAATGTCTGATGCTTATTTTTGTAGGTGATCTAGCAACCGTATGAGGAGTCGCATAAAATTGCAAAGTAGTTCATGTGTCGATCATACCTCATAAGTTTCAACAGTGCTGAGTATTATATGCCCGATCGCGTGTTGCGACAATTTGGAAAGTTGTAAAGTAATCCTGTTATGCCACCCAAGTGGGATAGGAGGGAGAAGGTCAGTATATACCCCACAAATTGGACTGAAAAATTGGGTAGGCAGATAAAAGATTGGAAACAACGAGAATGTAATGTTGTCAAGGCAGCCTTGGATAGATCTGGTGGAGTACATACAGAAGAGTACATGGCCTGCTACAACATGTTTATACAAAGATTTAGAAAAAGCCCCCTCTGCCTCCCGTCGCAGTCACAATCTCATGTACAACCCTCTGGAGGCTCGCCTTAAAAAAAAACTATTTACCTTGGGGGTTTTCCATAGAAAGTTATTGTGGGGAAAAAAGAGAGAAAAAACGGTTTGGATGGGAGTAAATTGCACATATAGTGTATTTTGAAGTTTTTTTTTTTGTAATTTTCCACTTTATACCATGGCATTGGGCCTTGAAGGTCCAAAATGACAAAATAAAAAAGTTGGAGGCATTCAAGGTGAACTTGGACCATCGAAGCTCAAAAGTGCTATCTAGAACTCCAAGACCATTTCAAACCTTGAAGGTTAAAAGTTAAGGCATTTAATGAAAGAAATTTTTTTTATATAAGCTGTCAACCTTAAGCTATTGAAGTGAAGTTAACTTAAAAAATCCCCTGGAAGGGAATCTAGATGTATGGATGTGACGAAAAAAAAGAACTTCAAGTCTTAAAGATGAAATATCTCGTAACAAACTATCTAAACCTCTATTTTCAAGATTTTTAAATATTTATAGATAAGATCTGTACTATTTTTGAAATTTTAAATTTTATAAATACAAATGAAAGTAGATTTTCAAGCAACCATGAGTAGCATAATAAGAGCACTTTATACAAATCCCACACGGAAAGAAAAAAAATGGAAAAAGGGTGCAAAATGAATATGAACATAAAAAACAAAAAACTAGAGAGGTTTTTATAGTGAACAAGAGCATAAATTTTCCTGATAAAAATGTGTAATGCCTGTTATGACATCTACAACAACTGTTGTTGATTGTTATTTTATGATAGAAAGCATTTTCTCTCTATTATTTTTTAAAACGTTTATCCGAAGTGTCCTCCCCTTTTTCTGATTATGATGGACGCCATGAAACCACCTTAACGCTTTATGACCCATCTCAACAGATTTTAAAACCTTGCTTCCAAATTTTCCCCTCATAACTTTTTTGTGTGCATATGTTGAGAAATAATAAGTTTATTTTTTCAAGCATAAGTAACTCTTGAAATTGGAAAAAGAAAATTGTTTCAGGCTAGACCACATGACTACATATACAATCCAAAAAGTGTAAAGCATCCATCTTAAAGATGGATGCAACTCGGTGTTCCATTTAAAAACAATAGAAACTAATGATCTAAATGTTGTCTTATTAGAATTATTATTTCTAATTTTTTAAATTTACCTATTTTAATATATTCATCATGTTAGAGATTACATGTCCTTAAAAGTTACGTCCAAAAATCCATCTCAAAAATAGATTTATTAATAGGCCCGCATTTCTACTTATGCGGGCTTGGCCGCATAGAAACCGGATCCATTGGAAAAAGCTGTCCTCCATAAACAATAGCAAAAAAGCTCAAGATTCCAAAAAAAAATCGGCACCATTAATTCAAAAGATCCAAATCTCCAGTTCTTGTCATCGCTTTAAATGCAGACAAACAAATCCCAAAGCCTTTTTAATTTGCCTGGCAAATAACTCCCTAAAGAAAGAAAATTATAGATTCTCATTTACAGGTAAAAAAAGTATTATACCAAGACCAGAAGAATTTCAAAGAAAATCCTACTATTGTCTCTTTAGATTCATACAAAGAAAAGAAAAACTGTACACATCTAGCAATTGATTTTGCTAACCAAGAACACTAAAAAGAAAGAATGAAATTTTTTATACATTCTCCATTTTGGGAAAGAAGAATATATACATTGCCACAGAGATTTGAAGTAACCAAACCTCATAAATTAAAACTGATAAAGCAAAGAAAAATCAAATAACTTGATCAGTCTTCATTACCCTCATTCATCACCAGCCTAATATGATCCCTCAAAGATCCCAAATGGTCGCGTGTTAGATTTATGACACTTCTCAACCTATTTACCACCTCCTTCATTGTTGGCCTCCGACTCCAATCGCTATCCATACAGCACCTCATAACCTCGCATACTCCATCAACTTCAGCTACAACAATCTCTGGGTTCATGTCATAGTCTGTTAAATCAAGTGGTGGCCTATCTCCCTTAAGAACACCAATGGCCCACTCCGCCAGCCCATTCCCTGAAGGCCTATAAGGGTGCTTGCTAGTTATCATCTCAAGCAAAATCAAGCCAAAACTATAGACATTTTCCTCAAAATCTAAATGCATACATTCTATATTGATGGAAGCTTCAGTCCCTCTTGGGACGAGTTCTAGTGAGAGCTTGGGAATCTGGTTGTCTGTTAAGTAGAAGGAGTTGCAGTCGAGGTTAGTGTGGAGTAAGGGTGGGTTCAGCTCATGCAAGTATTTGAGGCAACATGCCACCTCCATCACGATTCTTCTCCTGGAAGTCCATTCCAGAGTTTCTTCTTCTTTAACTGTGACCGCAAATCAAAAATTCAGCAAAGAACGGTTAGTGGTTAACTACTTTATTAGTACCAACCAAGCGAATAACAGTAAATAATAACTATTTGGACATGAGAGAATAAAATCAAGAGTGTCAATGGTACACAGCTGGCATCCATTCTCAATGATAGACGGAGAAGATTAACTGTATTGAACAGTAATGGATATTCACTTGTATAATGTTAATTTCCACAGTCCATTATTGAGAACTAAGGGTGGATATATTCAAGAATATAGCGGCATGTCTGGTGTCAGGTGAGAAGAAAAATTGGCTTTCTGTGAAGGTCCCAAAGATGGGTTAAGTGGAGAATCAAAGATCAATAAAACAAGAGAACTTTTTTGGTCTATCAGTATTCAAAATCCTTAACAGATCTGCAAAAGAATATGAGAAAAAAGAAAGTCAAGTGGTTCACTTCATCAAAAGATGCCGGACCTAGAAATAACGAAAACAAGTTAGTAAAATACTATTTGAGATTCACATCAGCGTCGACTCAATGTAAATTACGTTCAAATGGCTATCCTCTTGCTTTCAATAGGAAGCCCAAAGTACCATCAATTTCTTGACTTCTCAAAAATTAGTTGACTATCCACAAATCAATTCCTCACCATATAAACGAGATTACAAAAAACAGCCTCTGATATATCAATGTTTTTCTATTTATTTTTTGGTGCAGGGGGGGGTTATGAGAAATAATAATAATGAATTTAAATTTCGACTAAACCAACATCCTGGGATTACGAAAAATTTCCAGAGGCAATGAATCATTTTTCTGTGTTGGGCTAAACCAACGTTCTTGTGCAGATCATGACTACAGACTCACAGTAGGTATTTCGATATTCAGAATCTCATCACCAAGACAAATACTTGAGAAACCTACCAAGTGACATATTTGAAACAAAAAAAATTTTCACCTCAGATAAAAGGAGCTTATTTTTCCATCCACCGTTACATTTATTAAATTTTCTGGTTTATCGACAGACTCCCCAAAGTTGCCATATTATCAGATGGATTAAGTAATGAATGTGACTTTAGAAATGATGTCTAAAAATTTCAAGCACTTAATGACTTTCAGGTGTATGAAAAAGAAATATTAACCTCTAGATGTTCTCAAGAAATATCAAAAGCTTCTCACTTCTTGAGCTGATCTCATTGCTATGGCTATCTAGGAAGGCATGCAATATGATTATTGGAATTTTTCCCATTGAAATAACTAGGGTGATAAGATCACACTTGGACATTGTGTCTCCACCTTTGCAAATTCAAAGTCTACTATCCTGATAGCACCTCCCTGAAGCCCAACCCCCTCAATTGTTTCTGGATATGGACTCTATTTACACCCTATATTGGCTCAAAGAAAATTGCTATTTCTTTGCATGTCGGGTATTTCTTGACCACATTGTTATAGCATTGCTAGCTTGGGAGCATATACTGTACCACTGTACACTTACTCCTTCAAGTAAAGAGATACATAGGAAGATTGTTGGATCTGAAATTCTAGAATCCAATTTAGAACCATTACATGAGTATTTAACACAAAAAAGAAAGCACTTTAAGTTCTTAAACACTTGGATCTGACCATTCAAAAGTTAGACAGTCTCAATTCAATATTAAGACTTCATTTCTTTCTTTCATGCACATACAATTTTTTTTTTTTTGGGGGGTAGGGAACCAGGTTGAGAATGTTATATCCCAAAATTTGCGGTCCTAAAAACACTCATAAATAGGGCATTACTTGATGGAGTGAATGGAAGATATGCTCGTGTGGAGCATAGAATCTTTTGGCATTTAAAATTGTGCTTTGAGCCTTGTTTTCTGTGATATTTGGATGACATAAGAGTCGATCAAACTATCATAATAGCCGTGGATCCATGGTAGGAAAGACAGAATTTTGTTACAGAAATAATGTTCTAAATGGTTAAATGCCTTATTCTCCATTGGTTGAGACCCACTTCCAAGTGTGTCAGTTCCCAGAGTGAAGAAAGCACGGGTTCCTCTCACTCATCAGAAGCATTTCAACCCGACTGGTGAGCTGAGTCAAAAGAGTCAATCCAAAACTGACCAAGAACCTTAAAACATAGATGTCGACATCAACTGCTAGGCTATGAAAATATATATGGGTGTATTAACAACAAATATTATGGACAACCTAGGGGTCTGTTTGTGATTTGAACTATATGGAGGTATTTATCAGTGTTTCAGCTAAACTAATCTGTCATCAAATCTATGCGTAACACGGGATTGGCACAAGTACCATATGGGAGATATCCACTTTGTTATTATTCAGCATAATAATCCATGTAGAAGTCAATAGAACTAATAAAAAAAGAAGAAAAAAGAAAAATAGATGATCAATCATCTGAAAGTTGCCATGTGTTTGCATGTGTTTATGTGCATGTGTTTGCACACGTGTGTGAGCTTGCATGCTTCTGTCGAAGAACTACTGGATGGCAATTCCAAAAACATTACATTCTCATGTGATCTGGAAACTAGAGCACTTAAGAGGAAGGAGTTGTAAAATGCTCTCACCATGTAGATTCTCACAGAGAGTCCCATTTGAAGCATACTCAAAAACCAACATCCTTACAAAAGGCTCCTCTTCCTCACAATATCCAAGAAAATTTAACAAATTCTTGTGATTCAACCGTGAATACAAAACAATCTGCAATCATAAAACTAACTATTAGAGACCAATGGACCATATAGTTAGTATAAACCAATGAAATGATCGCTGATGATGGAGAGAATAGACAATGTGGTATACAAAACCATGGTGTTAACACTGTGCAATGAAATGATTGATAATGATGGAGAGAGGGTGGAACCCCCCGAAATATGACATGACCTCATGGTGCATCCACTCTCTTCCGATTGCTGTACATTATTTCATTACATGTTAATGGCACTATGGTTTCGAATTCTATTGCAATACGGTAGAATTTCCCAAGAGGAAATACTCTCAGTTTCCACTAGAATCACCTTCTTCCTGAAACACCCTTCTGAGTTTTCGGACCAATCCTTGGCAGAGTTTACTGTTGTAGATATCACTGCTATTTCAACCTTATTCAGAGTACCTTTGAAGACAATGTTATCCATGGAAGAACCAATAACATTACTGAAATCTTCACAAGCAGATTCTATGTCTGAGAACTGCAATCTAGGTATACCTGCAAATCAAACTGGCTTTAACACTTTCAAATGCAAGAACAGGGGGGGGAAATGCAAAGTAATGGAACTAGGTAGAAAGGAAAAGAACCTTTGAGAAACTCTTTTTGCAATTGACCACTCAATCCAGTCCTCCATGGTCTGATGGATACTACTCCATGGTTACGACAAAAGACAAACAAGATGTAGGACACGATCAAGAGGAAGGCTGCCACAGAGAGCACTGAGATGTATATTTTTCTTGGAAATGAAGTTTTGTCTGATCGAGGTGACATTTTTTCCGAGTTATGTGGACTGTCAACAAAGGTAGCTGTGGGGTTAGAGGTTGGTGACCTGATAGGAGAATCAGCTTCTGTAGAACCGGAAGTTGAATGCTCACTAGATGAAGACGAATTATTGTGGGATGATTCAAACTTTCCTCTTGGAGAATGTAATGCTGATGGCGATTGTGCAGGGGATGGAGATGGAGCTGATAAGGGCGGATTTCTTTGAGGTGGACTAATACCACTCTCCGTGGGAGGATTCTCGTTTTCCTTCGGTGAAGAATCATTTGTACGAGGGGCAAGAACATTCCTGGAATTTTGGAGCAATCTGCGTTGTACAGGGTCTACTGCTATGGCCATGTTCCTAGGAAAGAATAAAGCTTAAGACAGTTATTAAATCAAGTAATTCATCAATGAAATAATGTAAAGTGGACAGAAATATCACAGATTTATCACAATGAGTTTTCCCTGTTTTGTTGATGATATTTTATGCAGAAAAAGAGTGGCTGTAAATTAATCACATTGAGAATAAATGATTTAACTTGTATTCAAGCGAAAGATGACTCTATTTATATGATTGAACAATGAAAGTCAAAACTTGCATCTACATGCCCATATTCGTGGATTAGGCAAAACGAAAATGAATCAGCAAAACTCTTGTATACAAATGACAAACGAAAAAAAGCAGGGATACAACAATAGATAATTGTAAACCTTAACCTACTCATTAACGAGGAGAACTTATTTGAAGAGCAATATAACAGAAACATTAGCAATAGAAATCCCATCTACAAAACATGATCAAACTTCGAGAGCACTAGACAAGGAAAATTTTAGAAAGCTCTGATATCCCAGATGAAAACTGATTTTCACTTGAATTGGGCACATTTTGTTACCTGCTTCCAGAACTTTTACTTCTGTAGCGTGGTCCTTGTGCACAATCTGATAATAAATTATCATCAACTAGAAGCTCTGTAAGCATTTTAAGCTCTTGAATCTTTGAAGGTAGGCCACCATGGAGCATATTGTTGTGTAGAAAACTGTAGAAGCCAGGATATACAATTATATTGGTGGTCATAGTCACAAGAATGTTCTGAGAACTTGGAGACTACAATAGAATCAACTCACAGGCATTTCAATGTCAAAATATTGCCAAGCTCAGATGGAAGATGTCCACTCAGTTTATTGTGTCCTAAATCTACGATCTCAAGCTCCTTCAATTCTCCAAGCTCTTTTGGAATATTTCCATAGAAATGATTGTTATTTAGGATACTGCCATGAAATCAGCGGAATAATTACACATTTCACAGGAAACTGTTGCAAAATAAAATGAGTCAACAAACGAAACCAATGGCCAATTTATATTTTTCAAAATATTAACAATTATTAAGTGAACTCATAAACTGAGATAGAGTAAAATAAATAAATAGATAAATAAGGGGATATACAAGAATGCTGTATCAAAGTTGAAGATATGGATATAGATTAAAAAACAAAGCTGAATATCTGGATGCGAACAATGGCAAACATGACGTCAATTTTATGAACTTGAACACAAAAGGCCTGGTACCAAACATTGACATTCAAGTTTGAACTAAATTAGCACCATGATACTAAAAATATCTTATTGCCCTTCCCACTTAGTACAAAGTATTTTCTTTCGAGAGGCACCTTATGATTCATTTATCAGAACCAAGGGTAACTTCTGTCCATAGGACAAAGAACTTGCTGCTTATTGGAGGGGTATGACATCTCCCACATGGGTCATGACATCCTCCACATGGGAGATTTAATGCTTTCCAACAATTAATGAATGGCCTAGTCCTTTACCAAAATCTCCCTCCTACCTGTGACAAATGACATAATGTGCCACTCAACAAGAATAGTTTGCAGTTTGCACAAAGGGGTATGAGAATGAAGCGTCAAAAAAAATAATAATAATAATATATATAGAGTTCAACAAGTTCACCACATGGAGGTCAGTCGTATAACTCCATATCTATGTGTGCGTGTGTGCATCTCAGAAAAGAACATGAGGAGAGGAGCAGGACTGACAAACTCCAAAACAATGTTCTACATAGATTGAACTCCCTCCTTTTACTTGCAAATTGTTCACAAATATGAGTAGAAGCTTACAGATATTTTAAGTGAATAAGGTCTCGAAGTTCTGGTGCAAGCAATCCTTTAAGATGAAGCCCTTTTAAGTTCCTGAAAAATGAAAACAGTAGACTTCGGTGTTCCTATATGCATCAAATGGTGATCATAGATTCACCTGTTCTCAGTAAGATACAAACAAATAAAACCAAAACAATGAAGGTTCAGACTTATTTTAGAATGGAACATGGCATGGATGTTTAGAAAATGATGATAGTGATATAGCTAATTAGTGATAGAGGTAATGAGAATTGTAAGCAGAGCCATTTGATATGAGAATTGCATAAGAACATAAAAGTAAAAAAATCCTAAGGAAATATCGATCAAAACCTTTCACAAATAAAGGCATCATCTTAAAGAGAAAAAGGGAACATGCAAATTGGCATGAAGAAAAGTTAAAACATTTATATTTATGACCTCAAGAAATCCCCTAACTGTGCATTATTTCAATATATCTTAGACTGACCCTACACCTAAAATTCAAGTGCATATTAAACACATTCAAATTCATATTGTCCCAAAAAATTTTGCCCACAGTTTCTCAAATATGGAAATAAACTATTTTACATTACCAAACACAACAAAAAAGTACGAAACAAAAAAGATGTAACCCGAGTTCCCAGTTCCCACAAACAAAATAAATGTTGTGAATTACATCCCCCTTTCAAATTATTTATTTTAGCTCAAAATGTGTTTGACAAGTGCGAATGCACAATTTAGACACAATTTTCTGACTTTCATATCCCATCTTTCAGATACTGTAAGAGCACTGATTCCTAGTCTATGGAAGAAGAGAAAACTCCAAAACCTATGTAGACATGGTATGAGAAAACTTCAAAAGCTAAGTAGAATAAGTGGAGATACTCCCATTATCAGACAATTAAACAAATCTTTCACAAAAGCATCATCATCATCATCATTATTATAGCCTTTTTCCAATTAATTGGGGTCGACTACACGAATCATGGTCCTCCATTCTGCTCTATTTAAGGTCACACCCTCAGTGAGGCTATAAGTCTCCATATCGCTTTCGACTACTTCCAACCACGTCCTTTTAAGCCTACCCCTTGGCCTTTTCAAACCACTTGAATTAACTCGCACCTCCTAACAGGTGATGTACTAGGTTTGAACCACACATAACCAGTCCACCTAAGTTTACTCTCTCTCTTCTTATCGCTTATTGGTGCCACAAATAAATTTTCTCGAATGGATTCATTATAAATTCCATCCCTTCTTGTCTTGCCACTCATCCATCTCAATATCCTCATCTCTGCTACACTCATTTATGGGTATATTGTTTCTTGTCTGCTTAATATTCCACCTTTTAGAGCAAAGTTGTCTCACAGTTGTCCTATAAAACTTCTCCTTCAGCTTCATTGGTATGTGTGGATCACATATAATTCAAGTTGTACATCTCTACTCTGCCCACCTAGCTCTAATTCTGTGTGCGACATCTTCCTCAATTTCTTCATTTTCTTGGATTATCGACCCAAGATATCGAAAGTACGGCCTTATTGGTACTTCCTGGCTGTCAATCTTAATTACTTCCTCCTCTCTACTCCTATTAATACTAAACTTGCATTCTATATACTCTATCTTAGTCCAGCTAATTTTAAAACCTTTGGATTCGAGAGCATCCCTCCAAAGTTCTAACTTTGTGTTGACTCCATTTCGAATCTCATCGATCAAAACTATGTAATCTGCGAACAACATGCACCACGGTACCTCATCTTGTAGGTGCCTAATTAAGTTGTCCATAACTAAGACAAAGAGTATAGGCTCAATGCTGACCCTTTATATAGACCTATTGTCACTGAAAACTCACTCGTCTCTCCACTAGATGTTCTTACACTAGTTAGCGCTCCATCGTACATACCTTTCACCAAGTAGATGTAGTGTTCGGAGACTCATTTCTTTTCCAACACCGGCCAAATCAAATCTCGAGGTACTCTATCATAAGTTTTCTCGAGATCAATAAAGACCATGTGGAGGTCTTTTTCCTTCACCTTAAACATCTCAATCAGTTGCCTAAGTAGGAAAATAGGTTCCGTTGTTGACCTTCCTGGTACAAATCCAAATTGGTTTTCGGATACTCTCGTTTCATGACTTAGTCATTGCTCAATCACTCTCTCTCAGAGCTTCATAGTATAGCTCATAAGCTTGATCCCTCAATAGTTCATACATTTCTGTATGTCTCCTTTGTTCTTGTAAATATCTTTCACAAAAACATAAAACTTAACTAAGTCTTTCCCATTAAGTGATGGCAATTATAGTAAATGAGAATGCGTAGGAATCTAGAAACTCACAATGATAAATGCCATAGCATCTCTCCCCACAAGGCTTCTACAGCATAAAGGAAGAAGAACCACAAGGAGCATCAACACAATGATAAATGCAGTACAACCCTTAAATAACAGGTAACATTACATCAGTTGCAATTTGCGATAAACTAACTTGTGCCTGTTAAAAAAAAATACTAAACCCATGTTTAAAACCCGATGATTTTAGATTTGGATCACAAATCCAGATGGAGAATTGGTCGGAAACAAACCAGTTCTTGGACGGTATGGGTCCTAGACCGGTTCCTCCCTAAATGCCTCTCGCCCCCT